AACCCTGGCAAGGATCACTATAAAGTCAGAATTGACTTGATGGCTAATAATTATTAATTAATAGAAACATCCAGGGAAATGTGCTATCCACATATTTGAATATAAACTGATATGGACTTTTGCTGAATGCAAACAAATTGGGTGTTCAGGTAGCTATTGTGCCATATTAGTATGCAATTAGGCACAAATCATTAAAGTTTCTTCTTTCTCTCTCTCTGGCCTACAGCTATCCATGGTCCCCTGGCTGTGCATTTGTTGGAACTATAGTCCAAAACCAGAACTTTTCTAAGCTCTGTTATACATATTTGCTTTCAGACTTCATCAGTTACATAAATGTATTTATAATACTCCCCATCCACAAGCAGGATAAAAAGATAAACATAACAGATATTTTTGTGCTCCATTTTTACAGAAACAAGAACACTAGATAATAGTGGAACAGCTTCACAATGGAACATCGTTCAGGAAGCAGGAAGAAATAAGGAAATTATACTTTCAGATTTTGTTTGTCAGATGTATAAATAAATGTCTAATGTTCCAGAGCCACATACAGTGCAATTCTATATACTGTACGTCTACTCAAAGGTAGAGGCCAATTGCTTCCTGAACTTGCAGACACAGTCTCCTTTACAGTCTGAAATTCTATGTATTGCTGTAGTATTCACAGTTACATAATCATAATACTTGCTGCTACTGGTAGATATCTGTATGCAATCTTGCATAGCCATACACACTCATGTCCCTTAACATTAGATTTTTGCAATTATTTCTCTTTCTTGAAATGTAGATAATTAACGGTGAGCCGTTTCCTCAGTTTTCAGATAGCGACAGATACAAGAAACATTAACGTTAACAATTTACTGTCAAAGGAAGTGAATAGCCAGAAGTCAATTGTTTAGAAACTTCCTGTACATGAGATATAAATTATTATTCTCCAGCAGAAAAAACCCCTACCAACTCCATGTCTGTTTGAAATAAAACAGTAAATAGGAAAGCAGAAGCAATATACATGCACATTTTGGTAAGGGTAGATACCAAATGAGAAGTCCCATTGAAGCAGTGGTGTTCCTGGTTCAAAAAAGTTTCTCGTAATAAGCAAGCAAATTGTTATTTGCTGACATGCTATATTATCTCTTTTATCCAGAGGAAAAAAGAAAAAGCTTAGAAAGTGTACGAGAATGACTTCAGTTTGAAAACTTTAATTCTGATTTGTTTTTCATTAATTATTGTTTAATCTAAACCCTGCCACACACATGCTATGTAGCCTTGCACAAGTCACTACCTCTAAGCCTCTTTCATACAATAAATAATTTAGTAATAATGGCCTACCTGCCAAATACCATAAAAAGTATAAATCACTTTGCAAACAGTACTGTGTCATTATTTTTCACATGTTATTTTGGGTCCATCTAAACATCTATTGGAAGATAACTATAATATACATTGTTTAAATAATGTGCTACTTGTACAATGGTTCACTGACGTGTTGATTGACATAAATTTATATTCATTTATTTATTTTATTTAAAATATGTTTAGATAATTCTATGTAATATATAAAAGTATATCTAATATTGAATATTTAGGTTATTCCAACAACTGGGAATTACCTGTTATCTGAAAATGAAGATCAACGAGACAAACATGCTGCATGAAAAGACATGAACATGTAGCACTTCACAGTTAAGAATACAACCTTTCTCAGATTTTAACAATACAGTAATCCTATAGTTCTTTGCTAGAGTATTTGGGTATTTATAGGGTACTGACCTGTTTCCAAAACTGTGAATTACAATTGCATAACACAAACTTATCTCTTTTATAATCAGTCCAGGATAATGGAAAAACCTGTTCCGTAAAGGGAATCTATCTACCTTGCTTTGCAAGCTAGAAAGATTGTTCATGAGGTAGTCACTGAAACCTGAAACAGGAAGAAGCTAATGCATTTTATATTATAAATGAGATATAGATTACATTAAGTATGAAATTGTAGAAGTAGATGCAGTTATAAAGTAGGATCTACATTTACTCATATAAATAGGACAATTTAGGAATGAATGTTTGTGACTAAGTATGACTAAATCTCGAGCTACAGCATCTATTTTAATAAGGCATTCATGTTATTAGAGAGGGGAAATGCTGCTGAACTTAATTTAGAATTACATACATGCCAGAACTGAATGATTTTCAGATAACTGAATAGTGTTGAACATGACCAATATATATTACTTTTTAAAGAAGGCATGCATGTTTCATTTAATTTATGTATTTATTTATTTATTGCATTTATATGCCACCTTTCTCCTTACAGAGAAGAAACAAAAATCATGTTCCAGAAATTAATTAATGTGCACCAGTATGTTGTCCTCTGTAAATTCTTCTTTTAACTTAAAATTCTAAACAAAAATTAAACTGAACTTTTGCATGTGGTAGTAGCAGTGGTGGTGTTGGTACATAATGCCAAGTAACCACATGGGAATTTACATTAAGAGGGCCATCTACTGGCAAGTAGTAAAATGTATTAAATGTATCACAGATGCTCTGAAATAGGTAGAGTCTATTTTCAGAATTATTTCACTCAGTGAAAAATGAGCATTAGAAAAGGTGTCTGCATAGATCCTAAATACTCTTGTTTTTATTTGGCTAGTTATGGGCATCTATTGTCATGCAGCAGAGATTCAGCTAGTGGTATGCTACCACAAATCAATTTCATTTTTTTTAAATTAAATCCTATTGATATCAATGTCACTAACACCTAGGTAATTGTGTATAGTATACAACTGAAAGCTAAATGCAGATTAGCAGTGGTGTCCATCATCCTATCATGGCAGGAAATGTGGTTACTGCTGGAAACTACATTTAGACATATCATATTACCAGGAAAATGTGTGGCCAATCAGAAAAAAGAGTGGAACAAAGGTTGGTTTATTTTATTTGTTTCAATATACAATTGGCAGGGTTCAACTGATTATTATAAATAATCTGATTGTATAACCTCCAAGAGTGAACCTCTTTAACACACATCTTAATGTGGAGAGGGGGTTTGGGTATGTCAGGAAAGCAAAGAGCAATGCTGTCAGAAGACTAGAATCTTATGAGTCTGGACTCCTAGGAGGAGTTATCCAAGGCAATGGTCAAAGCTGAGACAGCAGAAGAACAAAACCTGAGGCCACTTTATAATTCCATTAGTGGTGGAGGTGGAGAAACGTCAAAGGAAGCTGCTGGGCAGCAATGGTACTGAACAATCTTTCCTACACAATGGCAATAGCACTCAGTCTTACTCTTGCTGCTACTGCACAGCGGAAGGCAATCCTAAAGTACTTCAGAACATTTTACACCTTGAAACCATATGAGAATGAGACAAGGCAGAATAAAACAAGAGATTGTGCTGGAAGATGAGACTCCCAGGTCAGAAAGCACTGAATTAGCAACGGGAAGAGCCAAGAAAAAAAATATGAGTAGCAGTACTCCTAGTGAAGCACCACACATATAATTGGAACATGGAATGTGATAAGTATGCATTCAGGTAAAAGTGAAATCACAAGGCAAAAAATGAAACATTTAAACATTGTAATAGATGGCTTCAGTGAACAGTATACTGTACAGTAATCGGGACATGAAATGTGAAAGCATGAATCAAAGTAAATATGAAACCATAAAGCAAGAAATGAAATATTGCAATATTTGGTGTGAATGAACTAAAGTGCATTGGAATATTAGGACATTTTCAATCGGCCAATTGCAAAGTGGTTTACTCTGGAAAAGGCAAATATCTAAGAAAGGAAATGAGAAAGTAACTATGATTGCATTAATTTCACATGTATACATAGGATTGATACATAGTGATACATAGGATTTTGCAAAAAAAACTTTTACTATATATGGAGCAAAAAGAAATGCCACATGTTCAAGCTGGATTCACAGAAGAAAGAGGCACCAAATATTATATAACTAATATATATTAGCTGCTGGAGCACACAAAATAATTTCAGGAGGAAAACAGTCTATGGTTTATAGATTACAGCAAAGTAAAAAAAAAGTTATGGCTCATTCTGAAAGAAATGGATGTGCCACAACATTTGAATGTAGTGAACTGTAACTTGTACACTGGACGAGGCTAGTATTAGGATAGAATATGGAAAAACAGAACAATGTTTATTTTCTAGAACATATACAGTACAGTAAGTTGGATGAGAGTGATATGAAGAGTAAAAATTGTGGAAAGAAACATCAATAACACCATATTATGGGCAGAAAGCAGCAATACTGTACAGTACTTGAAAGGACCACTCTGGAAGGTCAAAAGGAAAAGTGGGATTGCAGTTGAACCTTAAGAAGACAAAAATAATGACAACGAAGAATCATATAATTTGAAGGCTGTCAGCGAAGAAATCAGAATAAATAAATACTGCTATGAAAGAACTAGAAAGATCATTGGGAGTAAGGATATACCATTGGAGACCAAGGCTAAGATCATCCCTTCTCTGGTGTACCTCAGATGGAAAAGTTAGACCATGAGAACTGATGAACAAGAAATCTATTTGTTGAAAATATAACAAGTTGGCACTTATTAAGAGAAGAGTGGTTGCTAAACCAGATAGGAGGGCTATAGATAAACAAACAAACAAATAAATAAATAAATAAATAAGACAAGACAAGACCCACTGGAAAAGACAATAATGCTGGGAAAAACTGAAGGCAGCGGGAAACGAGGAAGCCACGGCTTTGAGTTTGCCAGATCGGAGCAAAGCTGTTAGCCGTTATGAGAACTTTGGGAGGTCAGGATATCACAGGGTTGACATAAATGGCAGCCGATCTGACGGCACATAAATAACAACAGATCTCTGAAAAATAAAGCTGTCCCCGTTTTGCCTGGCGCTTCTTCAAGCAACTTCTCTAATCCACGGTGCCTACATTTCCCAGAATCCCCTTCCCAAGAGTGACTGGGATGCCCTCTTGCGGCTGGAAGGAAATGAATTGTGGGACCCGTAGTCCTCGCGCCGCCAGCGAATGAGGCCGGCTCCATTTGGGGCTTCTTCCAGCCGCTCTCGAGTGTTAGTAATAATGGGTTCCTCTCCGGTCCCGGAAGCGGCGGCGTCCGTAGAGGAGATGTGCAGCCGCACCGGAGAGGGATTTGTGTGAGCCGCCCGAGGTCAGACGCCTCGGTGGTGGGGTGGAAATTAAAGGGTCGAGAGAGAGAGAGACCCTTCCCCAGATCCAGTGCGGTTCCGATGTCGTGGGTGAGCCAGCGCTCGGAAGCGGGTTTTTGGGACATTGCATGTTTTAGGGCTTTCCTCTGATGAGCGCAGGATCGGGCCTTTCTGCATATGGGAGACCTGGCGTGGGGGGGAGGTCTCCCTTTTTTCAGGGGGCTGCTTGGGGATCCTGATGGGCCTTGGAGGAACGGCCTCTGAAATATCCTAGGATTCGGAAAGGGGAGAAAAGCTACTTTTTGAGGGTTTGGGTCCTTTCAAGAGGGCAGCGTGGGCGGATGGAGAGTTCAGAGGAGAAGATATTTAAACTTGTCTGGAGTAAGATGCTCTCCTTCCTGCCCCCCCCCCCTTTATGGGTTATTAACTTCTGGGAAGTAATGGGTTTTATTTTTAGTACCCTATGTGGCTACTTAATTTGGGATCGGAGTTTCTAGTAATGAGGGCATAGAATGGGTGTCTACAGGATATTTTTTTCTGGAGGCGAGAAGGGTTAAACTGTTTGGTAGTATGTGGTTGTAATCAGTGTGCAGTAGTTAACATAAATGTACACGCCTGCATTTTCCCTTATCTGTGCTTTGGTCGTTTCTGTGACATTCAGACTTCAGTATTTGGCGAGTATAATAATATAACCATGCAGAGCACAGCAATGGTTATCTGCTCTTCCATCCCCAATGAGGAAACATACTATGGTTATATTAATCAGCTTAATCACAACAAATTTCCCTAGAAATATAAAAGCGACACAAAATAGTTTTAAAAAATCCTGGCTATTTGATAGACATTATGCAAAAGAGTGTTATGAATAAGCTTCACAAGAATGACCAAGAACTTAGAAGGGTATATGGACTGAGAGACTTTTAAAAACACACACTAAAAAGAGGGGAAAAAAAGAAGTACAAATGCTATAGAATAGTTTTAAGAATGTATTAAATAGTGGAAGACGAAAAGCAGTGAGTCTGAAGATAGCAAGCTCTTCATAAGGGTGGTGAACTGAGACCCTTATTTTTCCAGTGAAGGCTGTCCATCACCACCCTTGTTGATGATAATGTCAGAAGGGTGGTTGAGTAGTGTTTGTGTCCCTTGTGGGAGGAGGAGAAATGCTTAGGTTTGGGGATTCTGAAGAAACCAAATCTCATTTCTCATTGTAACCAATCACTTTTTAAGCCAAGTGGCATAATATAGCTCTTGCATCACTAGAATTTTGAATGACACGAATTCTGCATTTTTTTTCTGGTTGACTACTTTAAAAAATGTGCCAGGAAAGAGTTCTCTCATTTCTGGTAGATCTGGTGACTACGCAGTAATAAAATAGGTTAATCTGGTCTCTGAAAAAATGTATACTAGGCTTACTTCCTGTCTGTTTCTTGTTTAGCAGACCTGGTGTGAATGAATTGTTGGTGTGTGTGTGTATGTATTTAAAAAAGGGGATCAATAATTATTAATATGTGGTGTGTGTGTATGTATTTAAAAAGGGGGGTCAATAATTATTAATATGTAATATTCACACACACACACATATGATAATATTACATATTAATAATTATTGATCCCCTTTTTTGAAAATACAGATGTCTAGAACTGTCCCAATATTTAGTACAAACATGAAAACTCTTAATCCTTCATTTCTGCAGTATGCATGAAGGGTTTGTGTTTGAAGAAGCGGAATTTCTCCACAGAAGCTTGCAGTTAGTTTTATTTTTAGCGTTCCAATAAAAGGTATCACCCATTATTACCTTTGTGTAATCTTTTACACAAAAAAGTTGATGAATTTTGGTGGCATCTTTTAATAGAGGTAGACACATCACTGCCCAATCACATTTTTAAAATATGTTTATTAAAATTATTTATAGGTCACATTTCATCATAAAGGGCTGCAAAGTAGTTTACAAGATAAAACCAGTGCAAGAGAAGCAACTATAAAACATACAACAATCAGCAGTTACTTTGCACTGAGAAAGATCTCTTCCATTAAATGCTGCTGATGAAACAGGGCCAGATCATTGGCAGTTAAAAGGGAAAGTGATCAGAAGGGAAAATTCATTGAGCATGGAGTAGATAATAAAGGGTGTTTTGAAACCTTACAAAATAGGATACTTCTGTTAATAATTTATAACTAAGGGAAGGATTTCTATGACATGTCATTTTTTTTCTGCAGCTTATGTTTGATCTTAGGGGTGAGTTTGAACATGTTTATGAGTAATCTGGTGAGAAACACCAGATTACTCATAAGCATGTTTGAGCTTGTCTATAGGTTATATGTACAGTAGGTTGCAGAGAAAATGTGACATGTCATAAAAAATCCCCCCCCCCGACTATCACAGCTTGTTCCAATTTCTAAACAGGGCAATCAAAACTTTAATTCAGACTAGACTTTAATGGAAAGCTAGACAACAGGCACCCATTGGTCTAATTTCAAAAGTGCCCAGGAAAAGCATTCTGTCCCTTTAGCAAACATCATGCTAAGTGGAGAGGAGAAAGTAGAGGGAGAAAAGGACAGCAGAGAGAAGGGTAGGCTGTTGTCGCTATCAGTGTTCATTACCTGAATTCAGTGCTATAATTGCAGTAGTGCAAGATTTGCTCTGTTGAGTGGACTACATTTCTAGAGTTAGTGCAATGGACAGATCCAGCATAATTTTCAGTGTGCAACACACATGTACACTATCTCAAATTACAACTTGCAGAGCAGTGAAATCTGGTGGAAGTACATTAGTGGAACATTTCACTCTGTTACTGTTATATTTGAATTTGCTTCTCTAAAGTTCTATAAATAAATAAAGCAGTGTTTTTGACTGTCAATTGGGCTCTAATTATCTTTATGCAATCACTGGGGCTCAGCAATTTTTGCCACTGCATTTACCTAAGAATGCTGAGTCTGCAGTTTTGACTTGGCCTTGATATATAATCCAGTAATTATGTTTCCCAGGATCTTGCTTCATCCCCTTGTTGCTCTGCCTGTTCATGTAGTTGAGAACAGTCCTTCTGGTGTTCTCTTCATCCCTGAAATAGATGCAAGATGTTAGTTTGGCAGTCAAGATGCTTGGACAACATAGGACCCAGGGAAACATCTACCTCCTTTTCTGCATTTAAGGGAGTTTTCTGTTTTGCCCATTGAAAGATTTTTTCATACTTCTCCAAACCATGGGTTCTCCTGTTACTGTCTTTATACTACGTATAAGCAACCCAATTAATATAGGATGGTGACTGATTACAGTCTAACACTTGAAGTACTGTAATCTAGTTTCCCTTTGTTGTGTCTGTCATTCATGATATATAAGTAAATGTGGAAAGCTTTGTAATAGTGTTCATAGAATGAAGAGTTAATTTTGGTTGGTAGCCTTTTATAGGAAACTGAAATTATAATTGGTAAGATTCAGTTGGGCTCCCTGGCCTTTTTTGTCACAGAAAATAGCCAAGCAGAACTGGGGCTGCTGACTTACAAATCATTAGTAGCTGTAAATCAGGGTTAGAGAACATATAGCTCTCTTTTTACAGTTGACGTAGTTAGGGGTAGATGTCAAGAGGAATTGCAGACCAGCATTATGGAGGGGCCACCAGTTCTTCATCCCTGTTATGGAAGAATGTCCTTCCAGGGACCTTCAAAGAAGAGTAAAGAACTCCAATCTGCAGATGTAGATAATCTGCCATTTGCTCAAATGGCATGCAAGAAACTTGATTGCTCATAGGCAAAGTTTCACTTCCCTCTTCTTTTTGATGCTAAAGAAATACAATCAAGGCGGGTGGGGTGATATACCTATCTCTTTCCATGCAGTGCTGTTTGAATAGTTGACAGCAGTTTGTATCCCTGAGTAGCATACAATCATTGTCCTCTAAAGAAATTTCTGCTTTATCAGTCCTGCTATGTTTGCCGGAGTTATCTCTCAGTGCCTATATTTACAGATGTAGAAAGGAAGGTTAAAGTGAACGTTCTTTATACTATAAATGGCAGTCAGGTAATGGCATGGATTTCTTGTAAATCTTTAAAGTAGCTCTTTACAGAAAGTAGCTGTTGTGTAAGATCAAGTTAAGTTGTAACCTGTAACAGAAGGCTTGGTTTGGGTCATGTCTTTTATTTCTCTCCTTAAGCATACTCATCTTTTTATGCGCAGCCCAGATTTTTCTGCCTAACACATTTTTGGAATGGGAGAGAACCCAACTCTTAAATAGAGCATTAATATTTATAAGCTCAGCTTCTGAACAGAACAGACATAATATAAAACTGTGTCCTTTTACAGCAATTCAAATATTTTCCTGTGCCTTCCAATTAGTGTTTAGATGTTCTCAGATGTACACCAAATGGAGTCTATGTATGCAGAATAGTTTACTGTGAAAGAGAGAGCAGTTGGAGGACATTATGTTTTATTTAGTTTTGCAGAGCAATTTTACTGTTGTATATTTGGAATCAAATGTTTTTATTACTTATTCATAGAACTTACAATTGGCTTTTTCTCTACAAAATGAGGATTTGGTAATTTTATTGCTGTTCTGGTCACAATAGGTTTAGGTATCTAACAATCCAAGCATGCTTAGTTATGCCCTGATCGTTCATGAATGTACTTATTCCTTTATTTTCATAGTAGCAGAAGTTGGTGTTTTTCAAGACAGTGATGGCTTTTTCTCTTGAATTTGAATATGGAGGCCACAGGCACAGATGAAGTAGAAAAAATAAAATCTAAGTTTTTGTCAGCATGGCACAACATGAAATACAGTAAGTGAAATGCAGTAAATGACATATCTTAAGAAATTAATGCAAGAATGGAACTTACCCTTTTTAAAAATATGCATGTTGTCTTAAATTATTCAGATTTGTTTGCAAGCTGATTGTGTAGTGTTATTGCTCACCTGGAGCAACCATTAACATCAAAGGAAGGAAGTAGGAATTTGCACAAGAGAGGGAGTTAGTATAAAGGCCAACATCTAGTGATGTCCTTTTGCTATTATGCTAAACTAGTTTAATCTTATATAAAAAAAGATCCAAACTCATATGCTCCTAACCTTTTCTCTTTCAGTGGCTGAAATCCTGTTGTTTAGTCACACTGGAATAGATTAATTGAATCTGGGGATTTGATGAGTCAGCCGTTCCATAAGTTTTGTTGATTAAAATATGCCTACTATAATTTTGATTTACTATAAGTAGCAACTAGAGTAGCCCACCTGAATCAATGGAACCTATGTTGAACCAGCAAATCCCCACTGATTCAATAAGCCTATTTTGGTGTGACTTATTATGCTGAGCAACAGGATTTCAGCCAGTGTGTTGTAAAATGATCGCAAACTTTGACCTCTTTTTAAAAAATAATTAATTTTAGCAATAGGATTATATCTAGAGATGGACAAACTGTGTTTAGTCATGACAGTGATCCAGTGACAAGTCAAGCCATTTCTGAAGTTGGCTTGATATCCTCAACCACAACTACTGTACAACTAGTGGGCTTTCCAATGTTCTTGGACTAAAGCACCTACTGGTTCGTTCTAGCTAGTCTCATGAATGGAAGGAGATGTTGAGAGCTGCAGTCCAACAAACTGAAGAACCACATATTGCTCATCTGTATTATAAATCATAGTTATTTTTTAGGATATTATCAATTAGAATTAAAGTCTTTCAGGCTCTCTATTACAGCTTGCCTTCAGACATTTGCTTGGTTTATATAATTTATGTATTGTCCATATCACACAAATATTTCAAGGCAGTGTACCAAAAAAAACCTCTCATAATTTCTTAGAATCCTTTATAATTTTATCAAATCCATTTTTGAATACTGTAATACCAACTAGTTGTTTTTATGTGTTAATGAAAGCCACAGGACTAACATTTGATTTGGTGCTTAAATTATGTTGCCATGCAAGAGATCTTAATTCTGCAGGCCTTGGTAAAATAGCAATTCACAAACTTACTCTAAAAATAGTTTACATCATATTTGTTGTAGTTGTAGAAGGGGTAGCTGTGTTATAGGTGCAAGCATTATAGGTGAAGACAAAATAAAAGTATAAAGTAAAAAAAGACAAATGTGGTGGCGTGTGAAAGATTGACTTCTGGGGTTTTTTAATGTGGGCTTTCGTGGACAAGTCCACTTCATCCGACATAAGAGGCTCTTTGTGTGATTTATTTTTACTACTGGGCTCTTATGTTGGATGAAGTGGACTTGTCCATGAAAGCTCACACTAAAAAAATATAAATGTTAGTCTTTAAGGTGCCACCGCGTTTTTGACTTTTTTTCTTTTTCTTTTGTTTTCACCTATTATACTGTACTTATTGTTATGTGCTCTCATGTTGCTTGCAACTTATGGTGATCCTATGAATTAACAACCTCCAAAATGTCCTGTCATTAAGAACCCTGCTCAGTTCTTGCAAACTAGAGATGGCATGTAAAGGCAAATAAATTTGTTTCAAAGCTAAATGGAAACTTCCTGTCTTTGTTTTCACTTCACTATTTGCTAATCTTATTCAAGTCAACATGCTGATATCTATTTTTTGTTTTTGTTTCTCTTTATAGGCTGGGTTTTGAAAACAAAAACTTATTTTAGCAGAAATTCTCCTGTATTTTTACTTGGAAAATGTTACCATTTTAAGACTGATGGTATGATTCTCAAATATATAACTTCTTCCAAGCCTATTGGTTTTTGTTTGTTTGTTTTCTTGTTCCCTTTTTAAAATTGTTTGTGTGGTTCATTTATATTACTACTGGACCATTGATTTACCACTTGTCATAAGTGATCTAAAACATGACAGGGACTCCTAACATAGGGCATGACAAAATTCTGCCATTTCCTTTCTGTTGTCCTGCCAGGTAGAAGAGCAGTCAAGAAGGATGTACTGTACATACATTGTTTCCCTATATGTTTAGAAAAGGAACTTGATGAAAAGAGGCCAATAGGATAGGGAATGTGAGGCAATTAGTGGATCCTACAATGATTTGTGAGTCTCTACTGAGTATAAACACAGGGCTCTGTTATATAATTTGGCCGTCCCTCCACATCTAGGCAAGGAATAAACCCACTGAGAAGGTCCTGCTTTAATGATAGTACTTTCTTCTGTTTCCTTTTCTGGAAGTATAATATCCAGATTTATGGTCTTCATTGTATTCTGTGCTCAGAAGGGGACGGTTGTTTCTATAATAGAACGAGAATCCATTCAAAGCAGCAATTGTCCGTGTTTTCCTTCTGAAGTGAAGATTTTATTGACATCTTTGTTGAACAGTGCTCTTAAATTTGACTTATGAAGAAAATGTACTTTTGTCCATTCACATTCCAGATGAAAGCTACTAGCTTTATCTGAGTCCCTATGGCAGATACATGTACATTCTATTTCCAGATATTGTTTCATTATGGGTAGAAAAATGTTTCTATAAGCTTCATGTTTTCAGTAGTTCTGGTACAAAATATTGGTCTCCCCCCACTTATTGCACAACGAATATTGTACTGGTTCATAAAGAATTTATGGTACATCCAGTGTATACATTTTATGTAATGCATGGTTTCTTTTTCGTAGAGCCAAATGACGTGTCACCAAATGGATCGAATGATGATATTACAGAGGAAGGGATTTCAAGAAATGTTGAAGAGTTTCGTAAAGATTTTATTTCAAGAATATGGTTGACATACAGAGAAGAATTTCCCCAAATCAAGGGTTCAACATTAACTACAGATTGTGGCTGGGGCTGTACTTTGAGGACTGGTCAGATGCTTCTAGCGCAAGGGCTTATTCTTCATTTTCTTGGTAGAGGCAAGTTAAAAAATTTGTTGGAATATTAAGATATATTTTGATTTTGACAGGGAAACACTGGTCATCTGAGTAATTGGACACTCCTGTAAAGAATGTGTCAGCTCTTTAAATGGAAGATTGTTTTGTGTTGTTTTTGGAATGTATTCTTAAGTCTGCAACAATCACTTTGTGAGAAATTTTAAATGCATATTTTATTTCAGTGATATATCCCACCTTGCTTCCATTGGAGCCTAGTTCATGGTTCCACCTCTCCACTTGGGTGTCCAAATCCTAGATCAGCAGTCCAGCCACTGCACCACAGTGATAGTTGTGCAATTTTGCTGAAAACAACAGAACACCCATAGATATTGAGTATCTCACTGTGTTAGATGGGAACATTTGACATAATTTATCAAATAATCTGCTATTTGCTGCCTATCTTGCAATATAGTTGTAAAAGCTGTGAAAATAAATTTCCATAAATTCTTAAAAAAAACCCAAAACTCATCTGGTTTAGGAATGTGGGATATTGAAATGTCTTAATTCTGATTCCTTTGAATGACTGTTCTGTTTTGTGTTGGGATACAACCAACATTTTGGTGTAATAGAATAATGGCATCACTTGAAGCATCACTTACAGATGGTTTGGAAACTTCAGCTGACTCAAAATGCAGTCGCCAGACAGCAGATTGGGGCCAGTTATAAGGAGCATGCAATGCCCCTGCTACAATGACTGCACTGGCTACTAGCCTGTTTCTGGACGCAGTTCAAAATACTGTATTGGTTATCATCTATAAAGCTGTATGTGGTTTGGGTCCAGGCTATCTAAAGTATTGTATCTCTCCATATGAGTCTTCTAAGCGATTAAGATCTCTTGGTCCCATTGCAATCACAGGCTTGTTTGATGGAGGCACAAGGAGGGGTGCTCCTCTGTGGCTGCTCCCAATTTGTGGACTACTTTCCCTTGGGAGGTTAGGTTCTCCCCTTCCTTTTATCCTTCTCTCAACCATTGAAGACCCATCTCCTCAGGCAGGTTTTTAATAACCATGACTAAGTCCCTAGATGCTGATTTTTAGCTTTTCTAAGTTTGCTTTTAAATATTTAAATGTTGCAAATTACTCAATGGTTTTTAAAATTATTATTGTGGTTTATTTGTTATTTATTTATTTAAAATATTTTTATCCCACCTTTCATCTTAAAAAGAACCCCAGGCGGCTGTTTAACTGTTTTTTTATCTAGATTTTATTGTGGTTTTAGCATTACTTTTGTTAACTTGGTGAGACGCTTTGGGCCCTCTCAGCAAAAGAAAGGCAACCTACAAATGATGGAGGTAAATATACTGTACAGTGGGGTCTCTACTTAAGAACTTAATCCGTATTGGAAGGTGGTTCTCAAGTTGAAAAGGTCTTACGTTGAATCTGCATTTCCCATAGGAATGCATTGAAAACCATTTAATCCGTATCTGCTCTTTTCCGTCCATAGAAACTACAGTGGAACCTCTACTTAAGAACTTAATCGGTTTTGGAATGGTGTTCTTAAGTTGAAACATTCTTAAGTTTAAGCAAAATTTCCCATAGGAATGGACTGAAAACCAATTAATCCGTTCTGGCTGTTTTTTTGTTATGTAGAGGTGCGTTCGTACATTGAAGCATTAGTTCCCATAGGAACTAATACAAAGCTGGTTAATACACACTCTACCACTAGGGGGAGAATTTTTTTTAACCTAAGATGACCTAAGGTTAAAAAAAGAGCAGGAAAGTTTTTTTTTCCTGTTCTTATCTTGGATTTCTGTTCTCAAGTAGAAGCAAAATTTAGCAAATGGAGCTGTTCTTAAGTTGGATTGTTCTTAAGTAGGGACGTTCTTAAGTAGAGGACCCCACTGTATATGCAAAATTCAGCAAATACAGTACTTTGGTGGATACTAAATTGTCCACTCAGAAGAGCTAGTTGAAGGAATGTTTCACTTTCATGGCCAGAATCCTATAGGGATTTTTCTGTGGACCTCGCAAAATCATGTATTTCACAATGCTGAGTTTAACTAATTAATGAGGTGTCAGTTGTGTGCCTGTGTTAGCATGATTTCATTTACTCCAAAGATAAATCACAGTAAGATTCTGGCTATTATTTTAAACTATCAGCAGTTAATATTAAACTATTCAATTTAACTAATTTAACATGAGTAGGAATTCCTTGAATTGCTAACAGCAAGGATTGAGGAGAAAGCTCTTAATCTGAAACAGGAATTATACTCCCTTCATAATATTGTCACAGACTGGACGTGGCCAGATGCGCTGGTCATTGAAAATCCAGACACTGAATCATGGAAGAGTCACACAGTGAAAAGACTGACATCATCCCTTGAAGCATCACTTGCAAGAGAGAAGGGATTCAAGAACCAGTCAAGCCACCCTAAGCAAATTTCAAAGGGAGACTTGGGAAACAGAGAAGGCAGAAATGAGCATTACCACCGAAAAATCATATCTTGGTTTGGTGATTCTCCACTTGCAAATTTTGGCTTACATCGGCTGATAGAATATGGAAACACGTCTGGAAAAATAGCTGGAGATTGGTATGGGCCAGCTGTCGTTGCACACCTTTTGAGGTAAAACCAGCCGCATCTAAATTATCTTTCAGTAATTCATCAGATGGATTGGGACTTACTCATGTTACCTTTATTTTCAGATTTTAAGTGAATTACAGAATAGCCATTAAAGCGTAGCATTATTTCCTTGCTTAGTCACTAGTGAGTCAAACGTATAGGATGTGTTCCAGACAAATAACAGCAAGGAAAGTGGTTGTAATGAATATCTCAATATATATTTTGCTTTAATTTCCTCCATTTTCGAAATGCTTCCATCACCCCTTCCAGAGAACAAAGGTGCCAAGAGCTGTTCCAAAGCTAGGCTTTATATACAGCACTTTTAATGAAATGTTCTAAAAACTAACAACTCTTTTAACCTTGGAACATGCATAACATTATAGACCTCTCTCTCTCCTTTTTTTTTAAATACTGTAACCTGGGGGCTGTAATGTACTGATAGTGTAATGAACTGTCAGAGTTTAAAATTGATGTTTTCAGCATTTCTTTGCACATATCAGGTTCTTATGAAATTGTAAGTGTATGGGACTATTAATATTATAATTACATAATAGTAAAAGTAAAGGGTCTGTGACATTCAGGCTAGTTTTTTTTTAAAAAATGCTGAAAGTCAGATTTCTCAGTATAGGATGTCTTTGTATGCCACTTTTGGGGGACACCATTGATTTTCTATTTTTATAGTCTTATGTTCTAGGTGGTTCCCAATATGGTCATAAATTGAATCATTAAGTCTTCTAAGCGCAAGAGGCCAAAGTGCAGATGTAAATTTTTTACATCTGTATAGGTGCACGTGCTTGTATAGCAAGAATATTCACCTTGAATGAGACTATGGGGAAATAATACTGTGTTTGAGAGGTGAAGGTTATTTATGTATCCGGTGGACTTTGGAGAGGTACATATTTGAAATTTGGCATGGAAAGCTTGTTAATATTTACCCGCAACCTCACTTGATGTTTTTGGGAGGGAGAGAGCGAGAGAGATTCAGGTTCAAGGTCTGCATGCCCAATTCGTATGTTATTTCTGTGAACAAATTCCACCAGAATTTATCCATTGGAAGGCTCGTTGGGTTACATGCGCTATCTTGGGCAAGCTGTACCACCAAGGAGGAGGACTAGTAAAATACTTCTGGTCCTTTAAATCTAAGAAACCCTGGTAGGGTCACCATAACCCAGGATCAGTGGCATATAATTATTAGCAGGCACTCATTCTGCCTTGCTGAGTATAGATATAGGATATGGTGGAAATTTTCAGTTCTTTGTGCATAATAAGATTGTACATTTTGTTACAACAAAAGGAGCAAGTGGCTTTCGTACAAAGCAGCATGACGTCCTGTATGAAGTCATCTTAATTTTTTTTCCAAGCAGGTCTTCTTCAGTACAGTAAATTAAACCACAAATCATTTCAGTTTTATTTATTTAATTTATGTAATGCTCGGTTAGTGAATTCCCACTACTCTGGGCAGTGTACAAACAAGGAAAAAGCCCACTTTGTTCCCCTAAAAAAACATGAAGTGTTGTTTCTTTTGAGAGTATTTTATCTGCTCATTTGAAGTAAGGAAAATGAAAAAGACTGAAATGATCATGTGTTTCTGGTAGTTCTTTTTAGTTAGGGGAGTGGTCCCCAACCTTGGGCCTCCAGATGTTCTTGGACTACAACTCTCAGAAGCCTTCACCACCACCTCTGCTGGCCAGGATTTCTGGGAGTTGATGTCCAAGAACATCTCGAGGCCCAAGGTTGGGGACCACTAATTTAGGGTATAGACATGTCCATTTCAAAGCTGGTAAACTGCTTAAACCTACTTAGTTCTATTTCCTCTTAGCGACAAATTTGATTTCCAGATGTAGCAATCTGAATTTTCAGTGTTTATGAGAGACAGAGGCTAATAATTTTCAAACATTCCTAGCTTGTCAGTTTCCTAAGATGGATGTTCTAGGTTAGCTCAAATTTTGCATTGGGGTAAATCAACCTAAGAAGGATGTTCTAGGTTAGCTCAAATTTTGCATACCGTGAACCTGAAATAAGTTTGTTATTTGTACCTAGAAAAGCTGTTGAACAGGCAAGAGATCCTGAGTTGCAAGGGATAACTGTCTATGTTGCCCAAGACTGTACAAGTAAGTGCGTTAACTGGCATGCTTGACCAATCTTCAAAGCGTTTCATAGTGATGTTAAGTGTCAAATGTCTTCAGAAGCAGAAAGATAGTTTCGTCGAAGGAGACACATCATTTTGAGTTAGGTCTCCTAACTCTCAGATTCACTTTTTTGTTTTTGCTTTTCCCCTTTTTTGCTTGTAGGGGTGAGAACCTCCCATTGCCCAACCAGAATTCCAACAATGTTATTCTGGATTCAAGCTATTACAAATTTAACATTTTATAAAGCTACAACACATGCTAATAATAAAGTAGTATAAGTTTTGGAGTGAAGACCTTCTTTGTTTCTTTTATGATGGCTACTGTTTTCTTGAAAATCAGTGTTGCTGCAAAGCATTTGAAAAAGAGAATGTTAACTCAAAGATTATGGGAGTATTGTCTTTTCTATTTTGGCCAACAGGCTGTTCACTTTCTTTGCTTCTGTAGCATCTATTAACAGGTCTCCTGAACTTAGTGATTCAATCTCTTAGATTCCTTCTTTTCACCCTCACGCACAAACCATTTAAAATGATGTATTACCCCTTTCTTTCGCTCTCTCAAAAAAATACCCTGGGTAATTAAAATATAGTTTAAAGAAGATATTTCTTCTCTCCTATGTCATTAGATCAATGAAAAAAAATATTTTTTTTCTGACCTGATATAATAGAATGTTGTCACTTTGCATTGGATACACAGATGTTTTAGAAAGTGAATAAAGCCAGTAGTGTTGGAATCTCTTTCTCGGGCCTAAATCTAGTATTGTGCTTTTGGATGTCCTTGTTTCCTCAACCCTGTTCCTCACACCTGGTCAGAGCTCTCTGCAGCACATTCTGAGTGTATGCGGGGTTGCAGTGGGGACCAGCAATTAATGAATTGGACAAAAAGCAAAGCAAAAAAGCAAAGTGTGCTGCTTATATATCGCCCCATAGCGCTTCAAGCACTCTCTGGGCGGTTTACCATTTTTAATTATGCAGGCTACACATTGCCCCCCCCAGTGTGATGGGTGCTGATCATCTGCTCCTGGATATTGTTGATGGATAGAAAGATGCAGGTGGTTGTAGTGATAAAATTCTAGACTTTTGTCAAAGATGAAGGTGTGAGTTGCCTCTCAAGGTTCTCTTACACTCAACTGCTTTTCTTCTGGAGCAGTGGTCCCCAACCTTGGGCCTCCAGATGTTCTTGGACTACAACTCCCAGAAGCCTTCACCACCACCTCTGCTGGCCAGGATTTCTGGGAGTTGAAGTCCAAGAACATCTGGAGGCCCAAGGTTGGAGACCACTGTTCTGGAGTATACAGTGTTACACAACACAACATATGCCTGTCATTTGATAGGTCTAATTGCTTGCTTTGATGTCTTTCAATGAAGAAGACCATCACTGGCTGAGGAAGGTTAATTCACTGAAATGTTTTTTATCTTTTAAACACCAGCTCCTGCCACAGTGAATGGGTGAATTCTATCTCATACTATAGACTTCCTCAGTCTGGGGCCCTCCACTATTCTTTCCGGGATTTATGGCCATTATTTTGTGCTGCCAGGGATTGATTGAAATTGAAATACAAAGCATCTGGAGGGTTACCAGTTGGGAAAAGATTGCTGTAGTGCCACAGGCATGCCAGGATGTTACAATCCAATGAACAAAGCACTAGTGTGGCTTTCACATGGTTGCAATGCAGTAGCCAGTCTGCATGCTACATCCACAACCAGGTCCGCCGTTGCTACAAAAAGAAAAAGAAGGTAGACCTCAGGTAGCTCTACAACTGGTACAAATAATTATGTTGCTAGCCTGGACAGATAGAACTGGGCAGATAGAACTGGGCAAATTTAATCTCGAATGTACCTCTTAGTAGGATGGCCAGTAATGGGGCAGCATGAAGATCCATCAGAGGGGAAAAATGATGATGATGTTTTCCTATCTGTGTTCAAATCAGTGGATGTATTCTTTCTTTCTTTCTTTCTTTCTTTCTTTCTTTCTTTCTTTCTTTCTTTCTTTCTTTCTTTCTTTCTTTCTTAAAGTTGTTAGTTTGCATTTGTAGATGTGCTCAAATAAACCTGGTTTATTCTTGTGTCTTTTTCAAGTTTACAAGTCTGATGTGATTGATATGCAGTGCTCTTTCGTGGATTCTGAAAGATCAGATGCCAGATCTGTGATTATATTAATTCCAGTGAGACTTGGTGGCGAAAGAACTAACATGGAATACCTGGAGTTTGTAAAGGTATGCAGTAAATTCAGTTTTCAGAAAGTAATCCTGGATGGTAAAAGATTTAAGAACAAAATCGTCAATCCTATTAAATGTATTTATAATTTTTAGGGCAGTAGATCATAAAGTTTGGCTTCAGAAGTTTGAAATTTCATTATGCAAATATTGCAGGGCACAGATATTCCCCGTGAAGCCACTTGCAACTATTCCAGTCCCTAAATGACTGCTTTGCTGATACAATAGCCCAGAGTAAAAACTCATCTGTTTCACCTGATGTGTGTCCCCATGAGACCTGGATTTTAAAATGGTACTAAAGCTCTTCATCTGTTTCCCCCATATATGCAGTTTAGTGCATTTAAATTAACAACTTCTAGCTTTCCTGCCCCCCCCATACCAACAAAAGCAGTCTACATGTATTAGCTGTTTTCCATGGTATGCATAGATACAAATATGAGTAAACAAAATCAGGTATTGGATGATGTTAAGACCTCTATGTTATAGTTCATCATATTCTCTGTGTACAGAAACTAGCCTGTCAGACTTTTTAAGGACAAGGACTAGAGGTGGCTTTAAAAAGAGAGAGAGTTTAATCTCGACCTGCCTACTCAGACGTAGCAGCCTGATCCAGAAACGAAAGGGAGCAGCTTTGTTTTTCTGACTGCCAAGAGAAATGTGTTGAAATGAAGTGGGTGGCGGGAATAAAATTACAGTAGAAGTGTGGGTTATTTGGCTAAGTGAGAGGGTTTAGTGATTTCCTCTCATTTGCTGACTTGTGATTTAGGGAAGGATTGGCATTATCTGAATTTATACACATATATAACTGTGGCATCTGCTGTATGAAAAGAGGGCGGATTTGATTCTTTAGTAATTACAGACACAAGGGAGCCCTAATGTACAGTTCCAATTAAACCTCTTTCATAAGGATCTTAGTAGTTGGAAGTGATCAGTGGCACCAACAGAAATATCAGTATTTGCTAGATTTATTTTTTAATTTTATTTTAGCTTTTTAGAATAGTAATTGGATGTGTTCTATCGCCTGTAAAAGAAGCCTTGCTGTCTTGTATGTAAAAAAGCTGCTGGTGTTTCAGGAACCAATTGCCCTGAATAAACAGGGGCGGGATAAGGAAGGCAAGCTACACATAATATTTGGTGTAACAAAAATAAAAGCAAAAGAGTTGTGTGACATCTCGTCTTTATTTTTGTGTTTTGTGTCTATTTTTATTATACACGCTGAACAAGGCTGACACAGTTGCCTCTGAAAACAGCCCTGTGCGCATCCTCACTGTTTTCCCCATCGCTGTGACAAATACGAAAGGGAAAAGAACGGGAAAAGCAGAAGGGTAGAATCTGGTTACAAGTTTGCTTCCAAACTCAGAGTGTTGATGCTAACATGTAAAACCCTACATATTGGATCCCAAACATGCAGAAGAGTGCAGAATTGTGTATCAATGTCAACAGTAGAAACCTTGTTATTTATTCTGCCCTCCTTGGAGACACATTGACTTTTAAAAGGCTTTTGTCTGTGGTTGCTTCTCGATTATGGAACCCCTGCTTCTCTGAAATGCATGCACCAACTGTGCCATTATATGCTTATCTACAAGATCAGATATTAGGAAGTGAGTGAGTGATAGGAGGTTGTCCTCTCCCCCGACCCAGTATTGAAGCTGTGTATGTATATTGAAGCAGTGTACTTCAACTGGGTGTTTTCAATTGCGCTTTTATACTGTATGTTCTTTTGAGAGAGATATATATATTGGGATGTACAACACACCCTTCGTCTTACGGCCCATAGTTCTTTTGATATAGACCATATATATATGGGGATCTCTCTCATTGAGATCTCTCTCTCTCTCTGTAAGGAACATACATGCACACACACATACACACACACACACACATATATATGTACAGTATATGGATCTCATGTATATCAAAAGAACTAAGGGCCGTAAGACGAAAGGTGTGCTGTACATCCCAATAATAAATAAATGTGATACATGAGCAAAATTAAAGTGTATTTATTTATTTATTCATAACTCTCTCTCTCTCTCAGGAACACACACACACACATATGAATCTCATGTATATCAAAAGAACTAATGGCCGTAAGACGAAGGGTGTGCTGTACATCCCAATAATAAATAAATGCATGCTTGTGATACATGAGCAAAATTAAAGGGTATTTATTTATTCATAATTCATTCAAATATTTATGTACCACCTGACTTAGTGCTAGGCACTACTCTAGGCAGTTTACAATCAGGGAAAATTGATTGAAACTTGGACAGTGTCTCCCCAAGCCTTCTTGGTGCTTAAGGTCATCAGAGGAGGCCCTCCTCCCGGTGCCACCACAGTGGGGACACGAGAGAGGGCCTTCTCTGTGGTAGCTCCCAGATTATGGAATGCTTTCCCTCAGGAGGGCAGGTTGGCCCTCTATCTTTTATCCTTCCACCGCCAGCTGAAGACTATTGTTTTCAGGCAGGCTTTTAATCAATCATGATTGATACCCTGAATGCCTCTTTTAAATTTTTAAATGTTTACTCACTTTTAATTATTTAGTCATATTTAATTAGTTTACAGTTTAATTGCTTTTTAAAGTTCAACTTATGTTTTGAATTCTACTCTTTTAATATTGTGAGCCGCCCTGGATCCCCTTATCAGGAGAAAAGCGGCGGATAAATAAACAGATAAATAAAAATGTATTCATCAGTCCTACCCTTCAAACCAAATGGTAGATCAACAATACAAATAACAAAATCTAACCTTACTAAGACCTAAGTGATGGTGGGAGTGGGTGATTCACATATAGACTGATTCAAGACAGGATGTTGCAACTTCCTCTTTCTAAAGGAAATAGTCAAGACAACATTGCTCTTTAGATTGGTAGGGCTGCATTATTTGTTCTCAGTGATGGGCCTGAAGGGACTTGAGTGAAATATTTTCTGTCTGATATTTTGGCTGGAATTGATTTTTCTGTAATGCTTACCATTTGTACTGTTTGGCTGTAATCTAGAGCCCTATGAATACAGGATTCACAGTTTTTTTACATGAAATACTCTCAATAGGCATAGTCATTTGCATGCCGAGGGGCTTTTGTTTTGTTTCCTTTCATTTTAGTTTTGCTTGATAAGAAAAGAAGATGAGAAAGGCATGGTGAATTGAGGGATTTATTTGCAAGCAGCTTGTTTAAATTGTACTAGCTACCATAAGGTCAAGACCACTGTATTGTAATCTCAGTGTAGTTTTAAATCTGAATTAACTGTTTGTTATTATGACAGGGGATCTTGAGTCTTGATTACTGCATTGGTATCATTGGTGGCAAACCGAAACAGTCATATTACTTTGCTGGATTTCAAGGTTGGTGTTTTTAATCAGCTATGTCTTTCTCAGTGTGATATGCCTCTTCTCCTCCCCACCCCCGCCCCTAGTGCTTAAGAGTTAATATAAGACCAGTGGAAAGTGGAATGATTAAAATAGCAAAATGAGTACTTTATTAATTTATCAGACCTACTGAAGTCCAGTCATTTGTCATTTGCCCCATATGGTAATTGGATTCTGTAAAATGTACATTTAATTTTCTTTGTTGCACAAACAAGGCATAATTTATCTGTTTCATCAAACTCTGTGGATCTTCTGCTACTTGCTCTTTGGCAGCTCTTAGTTATATATTTACCCTTTAGTAGTTTAAACGGTGCAAGTTGATGACCAAATGACAAGCAAATATGTTCTTCCTGTCAGGATGAGGAAGTGCAATGCATTTTTCATATGCAAACTCCTGGAATATAATTGTGTGTTTGTAAAAGTAATTTTATCTCCCAAAATTAAATGACAGTCTCATCACTTTATCAAAATTCTGCTTCTACAAGCATATTTGATTATGCAAAAGTTAATCTGTCCTGCAAAAACCTACATTTCCATCAATGAATATCAGTCTGGCAGTTACTTGCTGGGGGTTTCTTCCCTCCACTGTTCTGCATAGAAATTGGATTGTAAGCAGTGTAATAATAAGGTGTTTTTTGAATTACTTGTCTTTTGTTTTGTCCTTGTAGATGACAGCTTGATTTACATGGATCCTCATTACTGCCAGTCTTTTGTAGATGTAAGCATAAAGGATTTCCCCCTCGAGGTACAATGGATATAGCAAACTGACACTGTTTGCTTCATATATGAACCAAACATTAATTGCTAAGATGTTTGCTTCTCTTCCTTTTTTTTTTACTTAAAAAAGGAAAATGTATAAAGGTGAAATACTTTGTGTTGGATGTTGATATTTTATATAAAATGAAATATACATCCAATGGACTTTATTGGTGTATTAGATTTTTGCTATTAGTAACTACAGCTTGGATCCTAAAAATGGGCTTGTATCATCTCAGTCCTCATTAACTCTCCCCCCCCCGACTCCATGTACTGTGTTACACTTCCATGAGTTTCCTTAATTTCACTTGGAATGTATAATGCAGGAAGGGTGGGCAGTCTTTAAAGGTCCATGAGCTGCATATGTCCATCTATGGATCTTACAGAACCTCTCGCATGACCCCCAACCACATATTTTTGGGAAAAAAATGTTTTACATTAAATCAGCCACCTTGCACTCTGCCAGTATTTGAGTAAAAGTTGTAATAGTCCTTCTGTTAAATGCTTGCATGTTGGTGTTATGGCTGGTGCTGTTTTAAACATATGTATCGTCATTGCTTCTTTTTTGTTCTTCTAAGATTAGTTAAAATGCCATTGATTTAACTGCCTTCACTTCCCTTTCACACAAGTTGACAGGATATACATTTTTTTAAGTATGTAAATAAGTGCTGGAGCTCAGCTTCAGTGCTTTGTGAAGGAATATCCTCTCAGTTTGTGTGTATTAGCTGTGTCTGTTTCAGGGCAATCTTATTTAACTCTAGGGAAGACCAGCTTTACTTCAGTGTAGATCAGAGTAGAATTAAGAGCTAGTGTGTCCTAGTGGATCGAGTGTTGTACTAGGATTCAGTAGGTAAGACTTCAAGAGTAGGCTTGGCTGTAGAAGCACACTGAGGGAACGGCAGTGGTGAACATGCAATATCTTACATACTGTACCTTGAAAATCATATTAGGGTCTCCATGATTTGGAACCCAGCTTAACCCTGTAGTACATAAGCAGGTATGAATGCCTATGAAGCAGTGTGTTTGAGTTTGTTACTCTGAATTTGTCCAAAATTGATGCATATTCTACTAAAAATACTGATCTGTACACCCATATCATAAAGCATAATAATTGGGGAGTTGACCTTCTGGGGCCAGTAGAATGGAGAATTGAACACCTTCTGCTGCCTGGGAGACTACACAAACAAGACTGTTTACCATCTGCAGACTGGTACTCATCCCATTTGATTATAATCTGTTAATTGTACGCCTTTCAATGGCAACATTTAGACTTCAACATTTTTAACATGACTCCTAGATTGAATAAACCTGTGCATCTACTTTTAATATTCTATATAATATTAAGTTATAATACTGTACTGTTATATTCATTGTAACTAGATTTCTATTTCATGGTTTTTGTGGCTCACACATATGGGACTTACTGCATCTGCACAGGAAAATCCATGTGTGGGAGTTTACAGATCGCCACACAAAGAATGACAGTCACAGGCAAGCAGCTTGTTCCTCTTTTACTGGCTCTGTAAGTTCTGCCATTCTGCCAATATGTAATTATGGGCATGATGAAGGCATACCTGATTGATTTCTTTTCCACAACTCCTCCAGAACACTTCAAGTGTTTGATCCCCAAAAGAAGATTGACTTTTTTTTGCCCCCCCAAATGAATAGCCACATTTCTTAGCATACAGTACCAGAAGGATGAGAGGAACAAGTCGCTTTAAAAAACAAACATTCCAAACAGAGGAATTTTAAAACATTCTTACAATCCTTTTAGCATAAATACTGTTGTACTTCTTACGTTATTTCACTAATAAAAGTGCCATGAGAAGAGATATCAGTGTAGCAGTAGTTTAATGAAACGTTTGCCAAAATCTTCTTGTGCTGCTATGCAAATGGCAATTTTTGGTGATGAATTGCCTTTGGTTAAGAAATTGCCATAGACATGGTCAGTTGCATACTGATTGACTTGGCATAATTTGTCCACAAAAGTTAACGTCATTTGTGCTGTGGCAGTGCAACTCAGTAAGAGGATTTGGGCTATTATATTGTGCAATTCTTCAAAGCTTCTGCATATTTTTGCTGAATGTTTAGGTGACTTTAGCAAGATAGTTGCTGTCTATTGGCTGTGTGCCATCCTGTCTCTTGAGGAAGCTGCATTTATTGAGTAAAGTCTTGGGCGCCCATCTCAGTATTGCCTACACTGTGGATAGGCAAAATGTGGGTTCCCAGTCCCTCTGGAACCTTCTAGCCCCTCAACACCTTGGAACTTTTCTTCCCTCTCAGAATTTCAAATTGTGCTTCCAGAAGCCTTGAGGGCCACAATTTGACATTTAAATGTAGTCTCCTCCTGCCCTCACATGTGCCAGGTTGGAAAGATAGCCAGTCTCTTCTTATCAGGCAAAACCAAAAGAAAGCAAAAACTTTGTGGCACCTTAAACACTAACTGCTATATTTTAATGTGAGCCTTCATGGACAAGTCCACTTCCTCAGACATAAAATTTTCAGTTTTTCTTTTAAAAAAGGGTGAGGGGCAGGCTCCTTTTTTGGTTCAAAACAGATCCTGAGGTCAGATTGCATTTAAATGGCAAATTCCTAAATCCCTTCCACCAGTTTTCTGGTGTATAGGTTGTCATTGGGCAGTACTATAGGGGAGAGGAATATACCTGCCAAGGATCTGAGGAATGCAAAAATGGTGCCTGGATCCTCAGAACTTGCCTTCATCTACACTCACTAGCTGTGTGTCTCCAGGATTTCAGAAAGAGCACTTTCCATTGCCCTTCGCCCCCGCATTCTGAGAACAGAAATTAACTTTTACATAGGCAGTCATGAATTTCCCCGAAAGAGTTAGCTATATCTTAAAGTAGAGAACTTTTCCATCTTTGAGGAAGGGAGGGAAATGTGAGGTAGGCTAATGTCTTCCTCTTATACTGGAAACATCATTCTGTATCAGTTTTAATGAGTATCACAATAACATGCATTTTACAGATTCATGTATGGAAAGAAAAACATATTTGTCATGTAAAGGTATGAAGAAGGTTAAAATAAAACAATATATAATTGTGAACATGGCTAGCCTTCACTGTGTCAGTTCTTTGCCCCACTGTACATGGCAGAAAAGATTTACTGAAGCTTATTAGAGAAGGTTTGGGATTGGCCGAACCTTAGGAATACCACAGAATCTTTATACTATGGTTACTACTTTGGTTTATGAATTCATGTGACATTTAGTAAAATAAAGCTGTTCTTTTTCAAGATGCCACAAGCCTTACTTTCTTTTTGCCTTTTAGATGACTTTATTGGCAATTGTTTTTCTGTAGAAAGGTGTTGTTATTAAATGAGCTGCTATGCTAGCTGCTTGTTAACAAATGAGTGGTGTCTATCTAATTTGTCTTCTTTTATGCTTTTAAACCCATTTTCCCTCCCAACTCCAGTCATTCCACTGTCCTTCTCCGAAGAAGATGTCATTTAAAAAAATGGATCCTAGTTGCACAATAGGCCTGTATTGTCCAGATGTACAAGGTTTTGAAAGGGCTGCTGAAGAAATAACTAGGGTAAGTCTCCACTTGCTAAAACTAACACTTCGTCTCTCCATTCTTCTCTTTAATATGGTTTTAAATAAAACATGTTTAGACGCAGTGCCTGAGCTTGGGCTTATATGGTGAATAGGCTAAAATAGATGTGCAAACTCATCGGTTTCCTGTCATCTGATTATATCAGTACAAGTGAATAACAAAATCTACAATTGCGGTATAAATATCACAAGTGGATAATGCATTACTTATATACACAGTAAGTATTTTGAAGCAAAGTTACCTATAATGGGAGCCAGCTGCCTCTTTCCCCTGCTGAAACTAAACTGCATCTTAAAAACAGTTATGGAAATAGGGGACAAAAATCAAAGGATCTCAAAAGACATGTAAATGAGTTTATTGTCAAGGGAAAATCATCACTATCTGATTTTCTATCGTTGATAAAACGAGGACCAAATACAGAATTATCCCACTAGGTGGCAGCATTTAAACAAAAATATTTCTGGCAGAGTCTCTTCCAGTCTCTGAGTTACCTTTAATGCAAAGAAGAATCTTGATGCAATCAATTCCTTAGGGATGATTTTAAATGGAAATATTAAATCAAACTAAATTGTGTGTTATTACTTGTTAGCACATTTGTTACATTTACAGATTAAGATATTATTACTGTGTCTTAGGACCATTTTAAATTTACAATGACACTTACAATCCTGGATCCAAATAAACACAGGTTTGTTTATTGCGTTTGATGTATGAAGAAGATAAGAAGGCTGCTTCACTTAACACAAGAAAAGGAAACTGCTGTTCTATAACGATGAAAGATTTCCTTTTCTCTGCATTGCTTTTGCTCTCTGCCACTTACTCAGATGCTCATCAAAGTTGTCATAAAGATTTGCCTTGCCCAAAAGCACCACAGACATTCAAATATTCTCCTAAGAAATTTTAATGAACTTTTGTTTCGTTGTAGCATTTTTCAAGTGACACAGGAAAAGGCTGCTTTAGTATATGTAGACTTCCTAGATGGAACTGTGGTGGTCCAAATAATAGTAAGGACCTAGGAAGAGGGTAAGGTAAAGGTAAAGGTTCCCCTTGACAATTTTTGTCCAGTCGTGTTCGACTCTAGGGGGCGGTGCTCATCCCCGTTTCGAAGCCATAGAGCCAGCGTTTTGTCCGAAGACAATCTTCTGTGGTCACATGGCCAGTGCGACTTAGACACGGAACACTGTTACCTTCCCACCGAGGTGGTCCCTATTTATCTCCTTGCATTTGCATGCTTTCGAACCGCTAGGTTGGCGGGAGCTGGGACAAGCGACGGGCGCTCACTCCGTCGCGTGGATTCGATCTTATGACTGCTTGGTCTTCTGACCCTGCAGCACAGGCTTCTGCGGTTTAGCCCGCAGCGCCACCACGTCCCTATAAGGAAGAGGGAGGAAGAGGGAGCATGTGATAATTTATCATTTAAACTATTGTTTATTTAGGTTGTTCATTTGTTTGTTTGTTTTTGGTACTTGAATTCACCTTTTTTAACTGTTCAGGAATGTTGGGAGCCAGAACTTAGAAAGTGGTCGTGTTGGCTTAGGGATTCTGGGAGTTAGTCTTCAGAAAAGTAACTTTGCCGATTTCTGTTGCAGGCGCTAGTTTTGCCCATGCCAGCTGTTGAAACATAGTGAAATTCATGTTACGGATGTCATCTTAAAGAGTGGTTGATAGAGGGGGAGTCTAAGAGGGTGGCCTGTCTGAAACCAGAAAATTCATGGCTCAGATGACATTTAAATTGAGAACTTCCTGGTTGATGATTCATGTTTTATAGCTGCCAACGATACAAGCCGAAGAGTTGTAAATAGGAGTATTCTCTCTGTAGAAGACAACGGCAGTCCAAATTACATCTAGAGGTTGGTGGGGAGTCATCATGTTGGTTTTCATTTTAGTGTAGCATTTGTCCTTTGTATGCTTCCACAAGAATTATTCTGAAGTCTTTCTGAAGAGGCAGACAGTACATTGAAAACAAGTGTTTGTGTTGGTAAACAGGCAATCCTTTTCTCTGGTTGCCTTCCAAAGTGAAACTGCTTTGCCTTCCAAAGTGTAAAATTATTCTAGCAGCACACAACACTGGAGGTTCAAACAAAAATTTTTAATGGACACAACCATGTATTTTTTATTCATCTGTGCATATTACTTCCTGATATGAGAACATTGTATTTGACATGACATTTGATAACCATCGTTCTTTAAAAGGGAGTTTCTAGGCCACCATTAAAAGAGGAGTTCAGAATTATATCGGCAGTGTCCTGAGAAAAATCAAACCAAAGTTGATCATGGCTTCCATTTCGTAAACAGGATTCTGATCATTATGGAGTCTCACAGCTCCTCTACCACCCTATATCAGAGATGTAGAAAGAGTGAAAAATCAGTGTCATAAGTTCCCCAAAGACTTGTTTTGTGGTAGGACTTTTGGCCCTCTTAATTTCTCTTGAGATTTGGTATTTAGCAGATGGAGAAGTTAATTGTAGTGAGCTGAAATCTTCTCAATTCAAATACACCACTAAGACCAGCAGAGTAATATGTATTGTCTTTCAGAGTCACATGTGTGTATACATTTATGTATAATGGGAAAAAACTCATCAGACGCTGCTCACTTGGTGGTGGGGGCGGCTGTCATGTTGCAAGACACCTGTCAATTAGAAGGAGCAGGGCCTGCCAGCTAATTTCACAGGCTACCAAACAGCCATCACGGTGCCACAAAGTTCTGTTACTGAGCAGAGCTGCATTGATCCTGTAGCAAAATGCTAAAAGGCTGCATTTAGTTACCGGTATCTCGTCCTTTGAGATTGATTGTCCTGTACCTCCTTCCTAAAATTTTACCTTTTCCAAATGATCCTCTTTTTTGTGCCTCTTTTCTGCCTATCACTGATTGTGCCTCTATTTTTCTTGCACTTCTTTTTCACAGTGTTATCAGAGGAATGTGATTAAAGAAGAGTGGAATAGAGTAAAGCAGTCAAGGACAGTAATAATGATGGACTTCTGTCTTTCTGCAACCATGATTTCCCAGGGCATGTTTGCTGTTATTTTTAAAATAGTTTACCCTTCTTGAATACTGTTTAGGTTTTCTTTAAAGCGTCAGATTAATTTTGTCATGAAAACTGTCTTTGGAGTTTTATGATTTAACCAGCCCCCACTCCAGAACCTTAGCTGTAAGCTAATGTTGCTCTACAGTACAATATAGTGCTGTACCCATAAATAGAATGTAGCTGATTAAAATTATAACTAGCCGAAGAACTGATGTGATGTAAGAAAGCTGTAAACCGGAAAATCCCCAACTCAAATTTTCACCTTGTCCAAGAGCTTGCTCAGCTTTAAAGAAAAGCTGACAGCTTGAATGATTCACTAATCTTTTTGTTGTGATTTGGGTTAAGATCTCATATGGCGACTTCTGTATTTCTACTGTGCAAAGATGTGGGTGTTCCACATATAGATGTATTAGACATATCTATCCATAGAGGAGATGACTGATAGATGGCAGTGAGAAACAGAAAGGTTGGCTTGGTGTTATTTTATATCCTGCTTGACATTAAAAATAAGTGCTTAGTTAATGAACACATGTTTGAAAAAGGCATCTTTCATTTACTAACCAATGTTTTTCTTCTGTTACTGTGTTTTGTTATAGATTCTGAAATGTTCATCTAAGGAAAAATATCCCTTATTTACTTTTGTAAATGGACATTCTAAAGACTATGATTTTATGGTGAGCCCTGTCCAGGAAGAGAAAGCCTTATTTTCTGAGGAAGAAAAGAAGACGTTGAAACACTTTAATACTGAAGACTTTGTCTTATTGTGAGGACTTTAAAAAATATTAACTGAACATGTTTTTGCCACTTTCTATCTCTTCAGAACTTCAACATGGCACAGCAGTAGTATTTAAAAACAAGATGTTAATAGCATAACTCGAACTCACTCCATACAACAGACAATAAGAATAACAGAACAGCTGTTCATTATCAGTTTTTTGAAACATATTTTAACTCGTTTTCTACACGTTTACCTTTCTAATTTGTCCTTTTTCTTCTCCTCTGTGTCCTAGCTCTGTCTGCACTTCTTTTTCACAGTATTATCAGTATTCTCAGAAGGGTGGTGAAGCCCCATAATGTAGCTCAAAGCCTCTGACAGTGACCTGCCACCAACCTTCAAAATGGTTGTCCCCATAAAATCTCTCAGAAGTGAATTCAACATCCCAGCAAGTTACGCCCAGGCATGAACTCAGTGCTTTATCAGCCTGGATGGCCAGAAGGGGGATTAGAAAGAATGATCATATGAAGGACAGCTGTTTTCTACCCTAAGGCAGTATATATGTGTCAGGCAGTAGCACAATGATTACTGCTCTACTGTATTTCTGTTTAAACACCCCAGCATGGATTAAAGTGTAAGTGGGGAAATTAAAATATAGTAGATGGTTTTAAGCAGAGTTTTAATAAGCCAATACAAGGCCTCAAACAATAAATTTTCAGCTGGTGTTAGAAGACAACAAACTCATAATCAGATTATCCTTAGGAGAAAGTTCCAAAGCTAGGACATTGATGGACAGCGGAAAATGAAGAATTCATGGAAGACACTGCAAGATGACCAATCCAGCAAGAGCTGTTGGTGCTGTAACAATTGTGCACCTTTCATCTGATGCTGTGAACCACTTGATTGTGGTTACCAAGTCTGTCCCCTTAAAACTGGTATTCTGGAAATGCTGAAAGATCTGGATAATTTCTCCAAACATCTGCTTCAACAACCTTTGACCAGAGCCATCTTGAAGTAGAGAAAGAAACCAGCATTGAAGTTCTACCCAACACTACAAATGCACATCCTCCCTTTGCATGCCACACAGCAGATGTTAGTGATGGTCAATATATGGTAAACCTAGTGTTTGCACAGGAAAATATCCACGGTTTCTTGATGTTCATTTGTCCAAATGGTTTAAAGCCTTAGTGGGGTCTGAGAGCCAGATTTTCACTCTCATCACCCACAGAGGTCTGTAAAAGGCCTGAAATTTATTTATTTTTTGAAGAAATAAGTAAATCTAAACTGCTCATGAACAGATGTCCATTTCCAGTTTTGATTTCTGAGGTGTTTTGGGTTTGATGGTGCTACCCCCATTCAATGCAAAAATCACAATTCTTGAGAACCTCCAGGAACAAACTCTCCCAACCCTCTAAAATCTCAAAATACCCTTTTTTTATACTTGGAGGGCTCTGGGGGGGGCACAAAAATAGTTTTGGGTGCCCACCTGCAGCCTATGGGCCACATTTTGCCCACTCTAAATTCATGTCAATGACTATAGTTTTGGGCAATAATTTTCATCATAAAATATTCCAATTCCCCCAAATAAATATAATTAATGAGTAGGCTTGTGTTAAGCCCAGTATATGCCTGTGAGCAGTACTGTCAGTGCATGTGAGATCTATCTTGGGGTACATCCATGCCGTAGGTGGCTCAAGACCAGAGTAGGGGCTATTCCTGGCCCTTTTTCCCATGAGAGTGAATGATGAGCGCTGCATGTGTAAAAGATGCACTTGATTGGCCGTGGCAGCTAGCTTTCAGTTTATTAAGGTTTAGAGCAGTGCATCAACAGATTGCCAATATAGACTATCTGCTGCAGCAGTTCAAGAGTTTTAGCAGACTTCTAAGAGATTATTTTCTTTTCGAAACAAGGGCAACACAATGTGTTTGAGAGACGTATTCTTTGAAAATTTTTAAATTTTCCAAAACGAGATAGATCTCAACCCTCTTTTGTAAATGTACTAAAAAACTAATCATTTTCTTTGATAATAGATGAACACAGTGGAATGTACTTGTTCTCATTCAGATATGGAAGAACGTTGATATGCCAGGCATGCTGGGTCAGACACTTTACAGAGTGCTCTGTTGTCTAAACAATCTGTATCCGGATCAGTTCCTGACAAAAGACCAGTTCATTCAACTGCGGAATTTAGATTCACATTTTAAAAACTTAGATTCAGATTTTGTTTTGCGTGATGGGCGATGCCTGAACCAGAGCACTGGTGATGCAGCAGGTCTCTGAGCAGCATCATGTAATTTAATTGGCAAGTTATTCACACCTTTTTATGAACAACCGGGCATGTGAAATAACTTGTATGGCAAATTTACAGTATGGATTAAAATATATTGAGAACAAGGACTTATAATGTCTTGTCTGAGCTATATTTAGTGCGGAACAAGAGACACAAGAAAAACATTAGTGTTACTCTGCCTGAACCTCCATAATGTTTAATAATGTGATCTTGAAATGCCAGTCTTTGTTGTGCATCTCCCTCAGAAGTATTTCTGCTTTCTAATGGCAATACAGATACAATTATGTAAGCTGAACAGTGAGTTAAGGTGCTGCTTGGCCATATGATCTTATAATGACTAGTCGTTAAGATTGTAGTTCAACTTTAATAGGAAAAGGTAATACAGTATTGGCTTCCCACACAGTTTTAAAGGATATGTTACTAATATTAAACTGCAACCAATCATAGAAGACAAAAACAGTTATTAAATGAGAGCTGTGTTTTGTTTCCTTTCTGCAAATATAATTTGGATGCCTGTGTTCTTAATGCAGCTGTTAAATCAAAGACTTTCACTGCAAGGCGAGGCCTTAAAGAGCAAACAGGGTTAAGAAACATGTTCCGAGTTCTCAAATATTTCTAGCCACGGTGTATTTAGAAGTACTGATCAGTTAACTGTACAACATTCTGATATCAGGCCTGATCTCAGTATAACATTTTAAAATACACATAGACAATGAGGGGATGAATATTTTTGTTCAATTTAATGTCAGACATAATAAACCCAACTTCTAATTGTTAGGCTTACATTCCTACTAGAAGATTTCGTTCTACTGCCCAAAGAAAAGTTGTGAAAAATGCTGTACTTGTTGCAAAATAATATTAACATACCTGCCACAGCTAAGTAAATAAGAACCTCCTTTCGTGCTTATGTATCTGTAGTAAAAAGATAGTTATGGATGCAGATGTATCTGAAACTGCTTGCAATGCAATTGAATGGAAAAACTGCAGGTGTGATGTTGGCTTATACCATGACCTAATTAAGGACATTTTCGAAATGACATAGCACAATGCTGTCTTTGTTTAAAGTATGTTATGTTAAGGCTGTCGAAGATTTCATCCTTAATCTGTTTGGCTGTTTGTGCTTTTTGAAATGGGTATGACTGAAATATTTCTGCATCTGTGTATTGATCTGAACCATTTGTGTCTTTTTCCCCATTACTTACATGGATGCCTTATTAAGTATAGCTAATTGGTGTGCAAAGAAAATCTTTGAAAAGAAAAGGCCTATTAACACTGTTAAATGTATTTTGCTATGTACATCATGGTTCATGCTGTTTAAAGTGTACCGGATTTGGTAGCCAAAATCCTCTTTCCAGTTTCCGCTCACTTAAGGGAGATTGTGTGAGTCTTGATGGCAAACTGCCACTCATGAATTAGGTGCAGATTGCATCCCAAAGCAAGTTAATGAACTCCTTTTTAATGAGTGGCAATCTGACGTCAATACTTGTGTGACTTCCCATAACACAAGTGTGAAATGGCAACAGGATTCTGGCCAATATCTGTGAATGGATCCTTAGGATACATTTATCAAATATACATAGCTGTATCTCTGCCTTACACTTTACCATTCACTGAAGCAAAGACCTTTGCACAGGTAAATGCATTTAATGCAGAAACCTTGGATTGCCATTGGGTAATTTAGTCAGAGACTTTCCCCAAGAAAGTGCAAGATACCATTTCTACTCTTTCACCCATTTCTGTACTCCTAATTAGCTGAAGCCACTCTACTATTCAATTTGTCTTGTTCTATACCTTTAGCTTCCTTTAAAAATAAACAATGGTTTGTGATAATTTTTGGCCAACTGGTTCAGTCCCAAAAAGTAAAGAACTTGCTTTGCTAGGAACTATGGGGAAGGAAAACTATCAGGTTTTATCTTTGTTCTTGAAATGGAGACTTTATAGGGTTTACTTAAGAAATCACATTTATTCACGAAGGTTTTCATGGCTGGGATCTAATGGTTTATTTTTTTTTTAATTTTTTTAATTTTTTATTTATATCCTGCCGATCTGGTCGGGTCAGGACCACTCTAGGCGGCTAACAACATAAATAATACAATAAAGTTGATATATAAAACAATTATTAAATAGTAAGACATTACACAAGGTGGGAGGAACAATAAGAGAGGGAAAAAAGGTGTTAAGGGGCGTCAGGGATTATCTGATGGTAAGGTTGTTGTGGTGCTACTCCTGTCGTCTGAAGATGCTGGCCACAGAGACTGGCGAAACGTTAGGAAGAACAACCTTCAGAACACGGCCAAAGAGCCCAAAAAACCCACAACAACCATTAAATCACACTTTCTTCAATGCTTCCAAGAATCACCAAAAGATCTTTGAAGATGGGGGTGGATGGGTTTCTCTGTCAACAAGTGCCAAGAGTTATATATAGAAATAAGAACTCCATCTTTTCTCAACAAATGTTCACTTAGAAAGGGAGGAAGCTTCCCAAATCGTCACCTCAAGGAAAGGGGGGGGACTTTATGTTTAAACTAGTGAAATATTTCGCCAGGCAAGCAAAGAAACCATGGGACTTTCCTCGTGAATTAGTGGCAGATATTGAGTTACAATTAGGTATTGCTCAAAACACACTCAGAACTTTTGTGTGGTAAGGCAATATAGGTGTAAGCCTTCAAGAATACAATAGGGGTGTTTCATTTTCATCTGTTGCACAGTTTTCTGATTTACTAGTAAATAGCAGTCTGTTAAGACATAATGTCAAAGTTTGACTACAATCCTGGCTTGTTGACCAATCAAAACTATAGGTGTCCTTATGCCAAAGAAGTTTACAAGATAAAATTAATATAATAAAACAACAATGAAACACATGATACCTAGAGTTCCATAAAGCTGTACCCAGAAATGACTGAATACGTGTGTTTTTTCCTAACTGTTGGACACATGTACCTCTGATGTACAGCATCCAACAACATGGGTCATCCCACAGTTTGGGGGGCACTGTAGAGAAGGCCTTTCAAGTTGGCCTCAGGAGTCTGTCAAATGTGTCATGATTAGAAGGGCCTCCCAAGATCCTAATAAATGGGTTGGCTTATGCAGGAGGAGGCTGTTCTTTCACATAACCCAGCCTCAGCATTCAAATTCTTATAAAACAGAAATCTGACTCAATAGTGAAAGGCAGTCACAAACTGTTCCTGTCCCTAAAGTTCTGTGTTACAGTGGTGACACGTCAAATTACTAAGTTACTATAAATTAATGTTTTTCGGGAACTACAGGGGACTTTAATTTGAAATCAGGTTAATTGCATGGTGATTCTCGTTACCTCTCCTGCATTATCTCCTGGAAATCTGTGCAATTAATTTGTGTCATTACTGTTGTTACTGCTGCTGCTTTCAAACACAAACCATCCTAGCATTCATTATCACATACCCAGCAGTAGCTTTTTTTCTTCAAGGCATCTTTACATCTGAACACCTGGCTGTAACATAATATGTTGAATGCAGATGCTAGCACAGATGGCATTAAAGATGACCATGACTTTATTGAGAGGTATGGACAAAATAGCTAAGCGTGTGACATCAGTATGGAGGGGAACTCTTTCACTTGTCTTTGTTGCAGGCTTGTCCAGTTGAAGTTTGACATCTGCATCCAGCCAAATCATGCTCCTTTTGCCACAATCCTTTCAGGGAGAGAGAACCAGGTTTTTAAAAGGGGGCACGGCTGTCCTTTGCCTAAAACAATGGCTCCCAGCCTTGGGTCTCCAGATGTTCTTGCACGACAACTCCCAGAAATCCTGGCCATCGCTGCTAGTGGTGAAGGCTTCCTGGAGTTTTAGTCCAAAAACATCTGGTGACAGAAGTTCAGAGATCCACTGGCCTAGGATAAGGGCAAGCAACTTGTTCAACTCAAGAGGTTGTTAGATTGCAATTCAGATACCGGTATGTCATTGGGCTATAAATGGCCTACTGGTTTAAAAGGTCAACTTAGGTTTTTACAGAAAATTTCTGCGGAAAAGAACCAATTTGATAGTGACACTTTCTAGCATAAGAATGATTCTGCTCATAATTAATAACTGCATGCTGCCAAGTTGATACTGACACATGGTGACTCTTTTTAGCGTTTTCTAGGTGTTGAGTACTCAGAAGTGGTTTATCATTTCCTTCTTCTGGGGGCACCCTGGGATTGCGCAGCTTGCCCAAGGCTACACAGGCTGACTCTTCTCCTAGGAGGCATAGTGGAGAATCAAACTTTCCAAGCTGTGACTCTGCAGCTAGATACCTAACTGACTGAGCTATTCTATCCCACCAGCTGATTCTGCTTCTATCTCCATTTAAATTTATTGTCTATAGAACCATTCTTGAATTAAATTAAGCAAGAGGCAAAGCTTTAACATCTCAGCTACATCCTGAAAAGCTTTGCTGGTCAATCTCAGCCTGTTGGTCTGAAGTTGTGATGTTCACCATGTAGATGGTGAAAATCTTCCCTTACGATTTTCTCTGCTGGTGGTCCCTTGAATGTCAAACCAATGCATTTGTGCTTCTAAGCCACTTCCCACATATTGCTCAATACTTAAATAGTCCGGCCCTATAGTGAGAATTGGGCACATTCACAGAGTGGTAGCTCTTAAACCAAGTGCCTATAAAATGCTGGTATGTCCCGAAGGGCTACTTCCTTAGTGATAGAATCCTCCCCTGCCCACGTACTCTGCCATAACAACTGCTCTCAAGGCTCAGGGCATTTGCTGCCTGAAGGAGAAGATTATGACTTTTTCATTCCTTGCACAAAAGCCAACTGGATCAAGACTGAGATCCTCTATTGCATCTGAAGGCAGGGGAGCAAGGCAAGCTTTTCACTGTGTGTCTACTGCCTGAACCATCTTTTGACACACAGCCTAATAGTAGGGCCTGCCTTGACTGCTGTAGCAGTGCTTATGTCGTAAAGCAATTTTTCTGCACACTCTAGACATCCTTATACCTCCAGCCGTGGCAGGGGCCTGGTGACCTACCCTGTGGATAAATCCTAAGGACTGTGTATGATTAAATATTCTCTTTCTGTGCCATATAATTCTTAACTGGACCATCTGCAGAAACAGGAATTAAAGAAAGGTCCTTTTAAATGACTGGAGACCCAGGAGAACAGCAACCTATCACTGTAGGTCAGGGGAGGGGATCATGTAGTCTGCCAGATAATAGTGAACATTGGTTCTTCTCATCAGCCCTGGCTATTATCTCTATGATGAGGAAAGATGGGATCTACAGTCTCAATAACATGTGAACAACCACAAAGACTCTCCATTGCTGGATAGAGTTATCTTAGCAGCAAGAAAAAGCCCCAGCTACATTCAGAAAGGTTTCCTCAAGCATTTAAGAGCACTGTTCATAACATAGCCCTCCTTGGGTGACAGAGATTCAGGATGAGACAGTTTTCTGACTAGTTTTATTATTTCCAATATGAAACATTTGGTTTGATCTATGTGGGACTATGTGAGATTTCCAGTGTGGCGTAGTGGAGAGTGACGGGCTAGGACTCTGGAGAACAGAGATTTCCAGACTATGTGAGATTTCCAGTGTGGTGTAGTGGAGAGTGACAGGCTAGGACTCTGGAGAACAGGGTTTGAATCCCCACTTGGCCATGAAAACTCACTGGGGAGTGGGGGGTTGAACTAAAATCACTCCTGAAATATCTTACTTACCTTGAAAGCTCTATCGGGGTTGCTATAAACTGGCTCCAACTTGATGGCACAGAATGCACATACACATGTGGGACTTGATGGTAGAGTCCTAACAGCATATTTCTTGGTGCCAGACCCTGGTTTACAGCCATTTGTGCATCTCTACAAAACAGATTCCAAATGTTCTGACCGACAGAGCCAAAAGTCAAACTGATCATACCTGGCAGCTTTAGACTCCACTTGGAAAGTTGCCCTCGCTCCCAGCATGTTGGCAAATGTGCTTTGAAATGCACTCCTGGATGAAAAACTACAGGAGGGCTTTGCAAGTGATAGCAAGCTAATGTCTGTTTGCAGAAGTGCAATTTCCCAAACCCCACAGCTTAAGCTGTAAAACACGTTGTTTGCTCGTACAAGTGAGAATTCCTGTCTTCATAGGACCATGCCCATGGTTTTTCTTCTCCAGTGGTGGGGAAAAGTTACTTCTCTGATGTTA